AAAGGACGTCAATTTAATTTTATTAAAAATATGATAAATTTGATTAATAAAACGTGTCAAACGATTTAATCGAATATTCGCGCCAGGCAAAAATAGATTGAACTCAGAGCGATATTGTTTTTAGAAATAACAAATACTTTTTAAATTTTTTTATTTTCTTCGTCACTCAATCCTCGAGAAGGAGAAGCATCAAAAATCGGATCAGATGATTCGAAATTTCGTATCTTCAATATTTGCATATATATCGGGCAGTTCAAGATCGTGTATCTGAGTTTGTCCAACGACATTTCGTTCCATTGACAACAAATTCTTTATCAAAACAGAACAGCGTATCTCGAGATGTAGATTTTACATAAATGAACTATGAATGACTTTCGGTCACCTGGGAGAATATGAATTTACGCAGCAGGTTTTATATATATAAATTTTAAAAATTTGAGTAAAAAATCGCAAGAAATATCTTTGATAAAACTTAAAAAATGTTTTTTCTTATTATCTGCAATCGAATATATAATAAATCGAATCGTCATGAAAATACTGCTTTGTTTATTTTTGTAATTACTCGATAAATTATTATGTAAATATCTTATTGTCAAAAATTATGAAAAAATATTTTAAAAATATATAAAGGTATAGCTTTAGCTTATTGTCTCTCCCAAAATGATCACCGGTATTACGTGATAATGCCACTCACGCCATTCTCAAATCTTTCTCTCTCTAATTTCTCGTTTTCGCGGTTGCGATAATCTTTGTGTTGTTACAAGTATCGAAATATAAAGTCTCGAATAAATTCCACAAAACGAGCATTATTTAACTAATATCTCAAGATACAAAAATATGACAATAATATTCGTATTCAAATTTTTTGGCTAAGAAATGACATGTTTCTTTCAACGCTTTTATGCTCGTTTCTGGTTTTGGTCAAAAAACCGAATTGAAAACGATGAAACAAATTTGAATCTATGTCGTGATCACATTTATATATGTAAATAAGGCGATAATTGACAACAATCTGTGACAAAATTGTCGGAGTTCCGTACAAACATTTAAAAAATAAAAGAACTCGTAAAGTTTGGTTTATCGGAGCAATCAATTTGATTATAGAAATTTAATTATGAAATTACGAGCGCGGAAACCCGACAAATATGGTCAATCGTTTGTATCGCTAACTTTGTTAACAGAAACCATCCAAGACTCGACAAAGAAATGAGAGACATCACAACTTGATAGAAAGTATATTATATATTTATATGTTTTTTTATGAAAATTAAATTTCTTATGGACAGAGATTATTAATTTTTTAATAAAAGTTATGTATTATAATTTTTTTTTATTAATCATTCTTACATTTTTTTCATACATAAAAAAATATTTAAAATTTAAGAAATTATTTAGACTATTTATTAAAAAAATTAATTTATTACTTTTACTAAATGTAAAATAAAAGCTCTATAAAATCTCTTTGTTTTCATCTAGATATCGCATTAACATATATTTAAAATACAAAGTGAATAAAGAGAAATAAATGCAACATTTTTGTGAAAATTTACGATTCATTCAATCAGAATTTGAAACGTGAAATGCTCAAATTTCAACAGATTTAACCTTTGCTGATATTTCAGTTATCGGGAGTAAAGAGATCATTTCCGTGTGTTTCCATAACGCCGAGATCCGAGCTCTTTAGAATTCGTTTTCAGTGTTGATCGGAGTAATGGTAATAGACGTGTCAATTTAAATTTGAGGTCGTTCTAAAAAAATACGAAACGATTACACCGCTTACTATCCTATCTTTAAGCGTCTGCGAAAGGCCTCACTTTAAAAACTAGGGTCCTTCACTTGAGTGTAGTTCACTTTTTGCGCTTCGACATTCGGGCTACGGATTTTACACTGGCTTTAGACCGCGTAATTATCCCCCTCGATGCACTCGAAAGAAGCATCTTCCTCTCTTCCCCCCCCCCCCTCTCCCCATCACCGCTATTCCACGTTCGGAACACTTGTACCACCGCTATCTCACCGTCGTCTCTCGTCTTGCGAGGTCTGTGGAAAAGCTTCCGAGGACGACGAGATGCACGATTACACGCCGACTGACACAGAAAACGTGTAACGCTGGCGACACTGACGTATTTCGCCACGTGAATTTTACACGCGGCGAGAGTGGCATGGAAACGTATACCGGGGATCGCGGTGACATGATACGAGATACTTGCCACTTGCGCACGTCTTCTTTCGGGAAGATAAGAGAAAATGCATTCGCACGTCGTAGCGGGAATCTTCCCCCCCTCCCCCCTCCCCCCACTTAAAGACCACTCCAGAAACGCACGAAACATTAACCGATCGTTTCGAATCACCGTTCAAGGAAACCAAATCGATCGCGCTGCCCCGCGATTTGAGCAAGTTGCACGTTACTTGGGACATAGCGACTCGTTCCCCCGTTCAACGGCGATAGAATATTAATCGCGATTGTTACGTTACTGGTCTTACTCGTAGGTATACTTTCGGCCTTGGTGCATTTTTGATTGTGTTATCACACATCAAACGTCATTGCATTGCTGCTGTGCGCCCCGCAATCGAGCCTCCTCTTCCTCGTTCTCGTCGTACGTGGACGACGACCGCCACGTGCCTACGTTCCCTTCTACATTCTACGACAAAGCGCACGCGAGCAGAAACGTATTTTAATATACTCTCCATTCTCCACTCTTCGCCTATTCACTCGCCGCTTATTCACACGGCGCATTCTAACCCCGCGCGTATCTCGTGTATCTCGCCGGGTGCTGAACACCCACCACGGGGATGCGCCACCATACGCATCCCCTACCAGTGTATTACATATGTATATAGATTGTATATATTTATACAATTTAGCCCAGCGCTCACTCACTTGGACAAGTAATTATTATTATTATTAAAATTAAGTAATTACATTATTAATATCTTATTATAAATTGTGGTTTTAATACATATGATATACGTGTATATATGTACGTGTGCCTACAGCGAAATTCTCACTGTGAATGATAATTTAATTGGATTAACTTAATTAAATTTATTACGTATTATTTCCCTCTTGTGACTCCGCGATGAGTGTAATGTAATTTTGATGACGTCTTCTTTGATAGTCTTGGGATTGTTTTCTTTGTAAGAAAATTTTCAAAGGAGCCATTATTCGATTCAAGTTTCTAATTTTTATGCGCTAACTACCTTGGTAATTAAATCTTGAGTTTAAAGTTTGAAAAGATAAAGTTTATTCATATTTAAGTGAACAATAAAGTTTTCCTATATAGTTGCGTTTACCAGCGGAGCTTACTTATTAAAATTTTTGTTACTTAGCTTATTATATGTTTCATTTGTTTTCTTTAAAATTCTTTGTTATATTTCCCTTTAAGTTTCCTTTTCCGAAATTTATTTCATAAAATAAACAATGTACGATAAAAAAAGTGTAAAATAAAGAGAAATAGCGATGTCGTACGCAAAGTGTAAGAATTTCACTGTACGTACCTTTATGTTCGTATACGCACTGATGCACGATATATATACGAATTCACATACATATGTATATACACACACACATACACACACACATAGACAGTGTATGTCGTGTATGCATGTAAACTGTATATATATATATACATCATATTCACGTAGATTTACTGCGATTTACCACTTATCAGCGCGTGAATTCAAGTAATCGTATACTCTCCTCTTAGCAGACATGCGAACCCTTGATTTGCACACTATGTGTTGACCACTTGCGTGATTATCATTCGTGTTACCCGCAGTTAGCTTTTCGTTGACTTGTATTTGTATTACACTGCCATACACGTCGCTATCTATCATTTGTGCGTCCGGACCTTTCATTACGTTAGAGATCTCTCCGTGCGCCGAGTAGCGAGAGATCCTGTAGAATATTGCTGCATACGTACGCGTGGGAAAAGATATAAGATCAGACAGAAGCACGATCATCCTCGTGATTTATCATTTTTAGAAAGAATATTTTTAGCTTCGTGATGCACAGATAACGCCCAAAAATGATCCCGCGAGCTTTCCCGATCGAGCAATTCCGATTCATGAGAGAATCGGATGAATGGAATCGGGGAGCGAATCGCATCTTCATGAAAGCTCATTTATCGCTTCCTGCATTTCAATTTTTGCACTCCTAGTTTTATACAGATCGAAAGAAGTTATTCCTTTATTGTCACGGTACTCTTCCTCTGGATCGTGAGTTTTAAATTCATCTCTCTACGAGATTCCATTCATCCGTCGTTTCATCGTTGATTTCCACGTTGAACGCTTACGGATGCTTACTCTCATCAACATGAGAAAGAGCGAATATCCTTCCCATATTTCGAAACCTGAATCGACTCGGTGTTTCATTTCCAAGTTTACTCGAGCGAATTATTTTGAAAGCGGTTTTAGCAGAGATAATGTTATAATGCGACGTTACGATCAATGCTGTAATCGAAATCTGGTTCTAAATGGAAGGAATGCATAGATATCTGAGATACTTATTGTTATATTTTTATTGACGCATGAACAGGAAGATTATCTCTTATAGTGAAATTTAAAGCAATTTTTGTTATCTGATAGATGCGTTAGCTTATCTAATTTATAAATTGTTTTAACTTCAGGAAACACGGTTGTGCATCTGAGCTCTATCTCTCTAAAAACGCGATACACACCGCTTTCGAAATAAATGATACATTTGTATCCCTGAATCTCCCACGCGTACGTATGCGTAACCGCAGCTGCGCTCGAAAGTTTTAAGCTCCTGAGATATCGGAAGCGATACGAGCGATTTTAAGAATATTTAAAAAGGGCGGACGAGAGAGAGCGTCAGCCCCGTGCAACAGCTCGAGCGACAGCTGTGGTTTCGTTGATTGGCTGAGAATTAATCATGTCAATTGACGAATTGACATGAGTCAATCTCCTTTAATAAAAGAGAGAAAGAGAAATTATCGACGCTGGTTGCCGATGATATAATCGATGATGATCTGATGATATAGCATGCGACATGAACGTGCACAAGAGGTGCGAAGAGAGCGTGCCAAATTTATGCGGATGCGATCACACCGAAAGACGTGGTCGTATACACCTGCACATCACATGTTCCGGTAGCAAACTCTCCATAGAAGGTACGTTCAAAATTGTAATTTTATATATATATATATATAATT